CGTTGCTACATTCAACAGTTTTTGTCAGGGCCATTTGAAGGCCATTGCACATTTTCAGCAAGTCTTCACAAGGCGAATATTGACTAATCCATTGTTCCAATAGATATAGATCTACTATGCCGCACCTGGAGCATTTATATTTGAAAGGATTGCGTTTAAATTTGCACCTCCTCAATTATCGCTTGAAGTAAAATCGTAAGAACAAATACATACTTGCTTTTCGAATAAAAGTCCTCTATAGTAAATGAGAAACGGAATGTTTAGCCACACTACCCAGCTTTAAGATAAAACCGGGTAGAAATTTTACCTCCTCAGATAAGGCAACGTGTGGAAAAAATAACCTAAATAAATCAGATATACTAAACATTTGTGCATGTCCAAATGCTAAATGCTTTATCCTTCATCTGCAAGAGTGTAAAATAATTAGTACTGTTTAAACTGATGAAAAATATTTGATGGTGGACCTGTAGTGTTTGTAAATAATGTGTTTATGTGTTTCTGCGTAAAGTTTAATATTTCATATATTTACTACTTAAAGACCAACGAGCTCGCTACACTTGTCCTTAAGACAGCTGTTGTGCCGGTTTGAAAGAGTTGGTCGATAATTAAATTCACCTGGTTTTCTTTATCTCCTGCCAACTGCAACATGCTAAGGTCACATATAATATAGCTGGTCGTGAACTTCTTGTCAATTACTTAAACCGTGAAACATTTGATTCGCCTCCACGTGGGATGAGGTTTCATTAACCGGAATGACCACAAGCCTATGTTGTAGGCCTTCCGCTCTACTTCCGACCGTTACTCACCGAGGGGAACTCGATATCTGGACTATCCGTCATAGTTCTGTATCGACGTCTGCTACATCGATGGTCATTGTCAAGAAGCTGCTGGTGTAGAGATCCATGTTGCTGTCCGTTCTTCTAAACGGCAGTGAAACGTGGACTATGTACCGGCGGGATGTGCGATATCTCGAGCGGTTCCATCAGCAGTGTTTGCGAAGGATTTTGCGCATCTGTTGGGGCGACAGAGTTGCGGACAGCGACGTGTTGTGACAAAATGGAGTGTACGCAATGGACTGCATAATTTTTCTGAGACAACTGAGGTGGCTCGGTCATGTGAGCCGTATGGATTCGACAAGTATACAAAAAGAACTCTTAGATGGTCAGCTGATTACTGGGAAGCGGCAGGTGGGGAAACCAACGTTACGTTACCAAGACATGATTAAACTGAGCCTTTCACGTTCTAACCTTGATTGTAAATCGTGGGAATCAAAGGCGGTTGATCGACGTGCATGGCGCGATCTAATCACGAAGGCAGTTGCCGAAGTGCTGGGAGAATGTCCTCATGTATGCAGGGAAGAAGCGGCAAGTGCGGAAGCGGCAAGAACCGTTGGGTTGCGCTCCATCAACATCAAGCGCATGGTGCTGTAGCACATGTGGTCGCGATTGCCTGAGTCACGCAGGCTTAGTGAGCCATGATCGCGGCAACTCGGGACCACTACCGAAGCGACCACGGGTCCTGCAGAGAACGTAGGCAAACCAGCGAAGCGGTTGTAGATACGTTGCGTTTGATTTACTAACCGTGTGCTTGCATGCTAAGTATCTTTATTCAGGTGGTGGGTTTGCGATTGTGTCCTCATGCTTTTCCTTCTCGTCTAAATATGTACCTGTACGCTCTTCGGTAAAATTGCACACCTCGCTTAAGCCAATGGTAAGTAATTTCCATAACATTTTCGTGTTTGTGTCATTTCCGTAAAATATACTTTCTAAACCACTGAACTTATCTCGGATCCTTTGTTAACAACTTATTTCACATGCTGATTAGTTTAAGATTTTCGTCGCGTTTCCTTATGCATTACTCGATTTATTTTCTTTGTTAGCTTTCTCTCAAGTGTTTGGCTGCTGCTTGATATCCCCGGTGTGGCTGCGTTTGATGTGCATGTTGACAAGGTGCTTACCTGTCTATTACCCACTACCTCGTCCATACTGGCTCTAGGAGACAGTTGGTCTTTGCGGGAGGGGACAGGGTGCACGGTCTTTGTGGCCGTGTTAGGGTCAAATAGTGGCTCCATACACTCAGTGTGGACCGGACTACGTTTCAGCCACCGCCTTGTGTGCGCTAGATTCCCCAAATACAGCTGGCTTGTGTTCGTCTGTGAAGTAGGATGAGCCGGCTCCGTTGATGAAACGTGGCTCTCATACACATGCCTCCCGGTCTTATTTCTTCGGGTTTACACTGGATACGGGGAGTGTGGTTAGAGCTGTGGTTGGTGCAGCGCAAGCCATTCATGGTCCCTCTGTAGGCGCAGACGTCCTGTGGCTGGCCACAGTGACGGGCAAATCCGAAACCGGATGCCACCAACCATAGCAACACTGTTGTTGATGCGCTATCGCGTGCTCATCTGCATCAGCTGTCACCGCCAACCATTGACCAGGAGAAAATGCTCTCAGCTAAAGACAATGATCTACAACTTCTTCAGCTTCGATCAACGGCTTAAATATGGTTCGCGTATTCACGTATTCATAAATCCGATATGAGTTGATTGTGATCTTTCAAACGGTAGGCAAGAGCTTTTTGTTCCACCGTCCTTCCGTCGAATCGTTTTTAAATCATACTCAGGAACGATCACATCCGAGTGTGGTATCTAACTTGAGGCTCCTTACTGCCCGAATAATTTGGCGTAAATGTGTTCTAATAACTGATCTTTGGCTAAGCATTGTCTTATTTGTCAGAGTAGTAAATTACATTGTCTTACTAGTACTAACCCGGGTACGTTATCATTTCCTGACTATTGTTGCAGACACGTGTACGTGGATGTAGGTGGGCCGTTAACCTCTTCAATGGTTTCACTGATTTTTGACATCTGCTAACGGTTTTACCAATTGGCCACAAGTCGATACCTTGTGTGATAGGTTTATCGAGTCTGTTGCCCGTGTCTTCCTCGAATAGTGAATTTTAATGTTTGGCGTTCCAGCCACTATCACCACAGACAAAGGTACCCATTTCCGTTCCAAGCTTTTCAATGCTTCGGGCCACTTGTTACGAACGTTCTCCTGAACAATCCAACGTCACGCCAACGCAGGCAGAATGCCTTACCAGTTACCAATTCCCACACTACCCATTTCTTTATCAGGTTGATAGTGAAGTAACTTACACCTACCCATCTTCCTTTCACCCTGATGCTGTCTATTCACACTGCACTTTCACTCCGTCTTCAGCTTTTGTCTTGAACAAACCTAAGTGACTGTCCCCATATCCACACCATTCCGCGCCTTTGTTACCCCACATCCTGGGCACCATGTCAACTTCTGCTAATGCAGATAGAGCTGCCCAAATCTTTCCAGCCTGTTGCAATCCCCTCGTATGAAATTTGCCGGGACACGGCCCGCTATGTCACATTCTTAGAGCACACACACACTTCCTCGCATACATCTGCAGACTCCTACACCAGTAGGAGTTTTCCCCATACTAGTCGCACCAGTACTTGCTGCCACATCGCCTGATGTATGCAACCCGGGAACCGTAGATTACAGTGTATCGGAAACGCCTCCACCACTGTCTTGTTACGACCCTACTACAGAATCTGAAGGCCCGATGATGGGACGATACGAATACGACTCGTACACTTTCCTCCTCCTCAATGTACGATCAATTAAAAACAAAATGCACCTTCTAGTCCCCTTCATCCTTCTGTCAAGCCCGCATATGGTGTTGATAACAAAAACATGGCACTCGGCCGACGCTTCTGACGCACCGCTCTACATTCCAGGTACACCACTTTCTGTAATGGATGTGCCAGTAAACGTGGTGGCGGATGCCTTTTATACATCAAGAACGAGTTTTACGCATCATATTTCCACACTATGTCTCTTGGCAACTCTGAAGACTCAGTCTGGATTCAGGCCCCGTTAAAGGTCACCTGGACCTCTTGATAGGCTGTGTATACAATCCACCGCACTCCACTTGCGCTAGAGTTAACAAATTGGGCAGACTCTTTCAGGAAGTCTCATTTCTTCCTGCACACTATAAGATCATTGCTGGAGACTTCAATATGCCTCATTTTTCGTGGCTCAGACAGTCGGCCCCAATCAATTAAAGTGCCCCTGTTGAGACTATTTCCACTCATTAATGGACACAGCGTGTGAATGTACCGACTAGACACATCAGTAAAATCAGCAACATCACAGCTCTCCTCAGCATCAAAATCAACAAGAGCATTAGTGCTCTCATCAATCATGTAAACACCAAACAA